GTATTTCAGTAAGAAATCAAAGGTTTCAAATTATTATTTGTCACAAAGACTTTTATTAATAATTTATTATATATATCAAGTTCAGAATATATTCAAGTTCTAACTGTCCTAATTCTAAGGATAAAAGTTACCTCTATTTATACAAAATTACCATCCTTTTACAAGACTATAATTACTAATCTCAAGAAAGCTCCAGAAATTTCCGTAATATTCTAGGAGATTCTATGAGTTATTTTGGCTAATGAATTATTTGTGTCAGAGGTGTTTACCAGAGGTGACGACCAGAGGTATTAACCAAAGGTGTCAATTAGAGGTGTCGATCTCGTATTATAATAAAAATGATCTACATCTGTTACTTGTAAATAATAGTATTAATAATGTTATACAAATAAAAAAATCTAACTAATAAACTATACTATTAAATATAATAATGTTAATAAATAATATATATAAGAATTAAGAAATAAAGCTAACAATTTCTTTTCACTTAGTTTTAAGCTCCTGTGAAATTCTGTTCTAGATTGTTCATCCTATTGCACTTCTGTAAAAATGTTTTGAACTTCCTCTTAAATAAGGTAAGTAACCAACAAGAGGTTACACATTCTATAAATTGAATAGGAAATTCATTTATCTCTTGTAATAATTTGTATACTCGTTTGGAGATTCTTCTTAAACGAGTAATATTTTGTAAACTATATTTTCCTAATTGTCTTTGCAACTCATGTTTGATAATTGTTTGTTGTAATTGGTTCATATGTGTTTTGATTAAGGAATATGTAAGTATTCTCTTTCCATTTGAATTATTAACATTTTCAGAATACTTTAGTAATTTTTTAAAATCAGTTTCTACATCATCAGAAAATTTTAAAAGGCAAAAATCTCCAGAAATTTTTCAGCTCAATTATTTCTGGAAGTTTTGTAGACTCACAAAATTTTCCAAAAAAAAAATCACAATATTTCAGAAATTTTTGAAATTTTCTAGAATTTTTATAATAAAAATTTACAAATATTCTAGAAATTTTGCAAAAAAATTTACAATATTCCAGAAATTTTTTATAAAAAATTTATGTAGAAAATTGTTATATTTTCAATTTTTTTGAAAAGTTTTAATGAGTTACAATTATATATAAATAAATTGTTTCATATTTATAATTTATTATTATTTTATCATATTTATAATTATTATTATTTTATTTATTAATTTTAATATTTACAAAAACTTTTGAAATATTATACGTATTACCTAAATTCCAAATTACTAGTATTTGGGATTTGGGATTTGGGATTTGGGATTTCAGCAAAAAATACTAATCATAATTTGGAATTTGGGATTTCAGCAAAAAATACTAATCATAATTTGAAATTTGGGATTTGGGATTTTGGCATTTGAAATTTCGGCATTTGGATTTTGAATTTGGATAGCAGGTATATGAAATATATAAAATTTATTTTATTGTTCACTAGTATTATCGTTATCATCATCATCACTTTCTTTGTTATCTTCTTTACATTCATCTTCATCCTTTTTTTTATTTTTATTTTTTTATTTTTACTTCACAAGTTTTTAACCTTAATTTTTTTTTACTAATTTTTTTATGTAATTTTGAGGTGATTGGAAATCTTTTTAATTCTGGAAGTTCTTTAAATAGAGATCGAGATTTTTCAAATCTTTCAGAAATAAAAAATCTTTCAAAAACTAGAATAAGAGAACTTTTAGAAGCGGGAGCAAGAGTAAAAGAATTTTCAGGAGTAGAAGCAAAAGTAGGAAAACTTTTAGAAGTAGAAGTAGAAGATCCAGAAGTAGAATATTGGAAAGAATATTTAAAAATTTCTTTATTTTTGATTTTTTTCTATATTATATATATTTTATTAGTTTGTTAATTTTTGAAATTTTTTAAAATCTTTAACAAAATATAAAATTTACTTTATTTTTTTCAGAATTTGGTAGTATTGTTTCTTTAGTTATTTTTATGTATTCATTCTTGGTGTTGAGAAAGATTTTGATTATTGATATTTGTTACGAAAATATTCTATTTAAAATTATGAAAAAAGAATAATTATTATAGTTTTTTTTTGAAATAATTAAATAATTAATATTATACTATTATTATTATTTTGAGAAAGTAAATCTTCGCTTTCTGTTGTTACTTAATTCGAACTTGCAAAGGAGTGCGAAGTGGAATGAGAAGAGGAAGAACTAATGGAAGGATACGAAGTGGAACGAGAAGAGAAAGAACTTGTGAAGGGATATGAAGTAAGATGAAAAGAAAAACTTTTTTTTAAAATAATATGTTGAGGTTACTTATATTTCTACATTTTTTTTATTTATAAAATTTTGTAAAAATTTTTTGAAAATTTGTTATCATCGAAACTAAAAAAAAAGAAAGAAAAAAAATGTTAGAAACAATATTGAATAAAATTAATTCAATCTCTGTATACTGTTTTTCCAAGTAAACATGTAAGCATCTGAGAGTATTCTACTTCTAGACAACAGGGGTTATCTTACTTTATAAATAACCTCCATTGAATAACTACCTGTTATTACGATTAGATCAATGGACAAAGGTAAGCCACCACAGGAAAATCGTAGTATAAGGATGGTATTAATTAAGAAAGAGAATGTCAAGAACCTAACTGCATTTTACCATTAGGAACTTCACCCTTTTTATCATTTAATATAACTGAAGGAACTCAAGAAGATTTACAGGAGTCTTAGATAACCTAGAAACATAATATTAAATGAAGATTTTACAGATAGCAATGACATTCAACCTCATCAAAAACCAACATACTTACTTGAGAAATAAATAATAGTTTGTAAAAAAGTTTGAAACAAATAATAGTTTTTGAAAAAGTTTAAAACAAGATTATTGAGTATAAATAAATAAGATCATTAATTAAATAAACAAGATCATTTTGTGTTACATAATAGATAAGATCAAATTATTAGGGTAATGTTATTCTTCACTCCTTATTTTTACTCAAGTAAAATATTTTCTAATCCTAAAAAATGAAATTCAAAAAAAAATATAATAAAAATTGATATTTAGATAGTAACAATTATAAGAATTATAGGAATTATAGCATTATAGAAACTATAGGAATTAGAAGTGAAAAACTCACCTCATGAAGAATAATTTTTCTTCTATTATTTTATTTAATTCAATAATTTTATTTTTATTTTTATTGCTAAATGAGATTTTTTTAATTTTTTATTAAAAAAATAAATTATTTATTTAATAATAGATTAGGAAAAAAATTGTAATAATGTAAAAAATATATATATATATATTTTATTATTAATTTATTAAAAAAATAAAATATTAAAATATTAAATACAACTATAAAGATGATCAAATCCTTATAGAAGGGAAAGAAATTATGTCTATTGCTCATTAAAAAGACATGAGCTTGTTATCTTATTTAAGAGTTTGTTTTGCTCGTTTAAAAGACGTGAGCTTGTCATCTCATTTAAGAGTTTGTTTTGCTTGTTTAAAAGACGTAAGCTTGTCATCTCATTTAAGAGTTTGTTTTGCTTGTTTAAAAGACATGAGCTTGTCATCTCATTTAAAAGTTTGTTTTACTTATTTAAAAGACATGAGCTTGTCATCTCATTTAAGAGTTTGGTTTGCTTGTTTAAAAGACATAAGTTTGTCATCTCATTTAAGAGTTTGTTTTACTCATTTAAAAGACGTGAGCTTGTTATCTCATTTAAGAATTTGTTATTGTCTAAAAATTTTTTAATCTGAAAACTTGAATAACTAAATATTATTGATCAAGAAAAAAAATATACTATATATTCAACCTAAAAAATAGATGAGATATTTGTGAAGAATACAATAAATTTCAAGATTACTTTGAATCATCCTGCTGTTACTAGTCAACCTTTTGAGCTAATTTTATTTTTCAAAAGGCAATTTACAACTAGCAACTTGTAAACAATTACTTTAGTTTATGAATTGAAGAGGATAATAGATGAAGAATAAAAGAAATATTGAAGTTGAATACTAAAAACTAATTAAAAGACTTAAGAATTTAGGGTCATGGGATTTAAACTATTGACTAATGATTTAATTTTAAAGGTCGAGTTAAGAAATTAAGACAAAGAATTAAATATTAATCAGTGGTCATTTCAGATCAGGTGATAGTTATTAATTAAAAATTTGGTGTAACTATAAATTATAAGAAATTCGGCACTAATAGAAACGATTTTTTTTTAAGTAACATATCCGCAAACCTTAATGAACTTTTGTTTTTAGAGTTTCTATCTACACTTTCAAGTCCTTTTCTGTACAATACAACACTTGTATAAAAAACTTTTATATTGAGCACTTTTTCTATTGTTTTTGACTATAACTCCGAGATGCAAGTTTATATGAAAACAAAATATTGTCTCAAATATTCAAA